AAAAAAAAAGACTAAGGGGAAACATTTGGGGAAATGGTAAGTGTCTATTCTGTAAAGTAAAGATAAAGGTTCCCTTGCTCGAAAGCCAATCGAATCCTACTCTAGGGTTGCGGTGCTCATCTCCGTTTCAAAGCCGAAGAGCCAGCGCTGTCCGAAGACGTCTCCGTGGTCATGTGGCCAGCATGACTAAACACCAAGGTGCACGGAACGCTGTTACCTTCCCACTGAAGTGGTACCTATTTATCTACTTGCAATTTCTTGCTTTCGAACTGCTAGGTTGGCAGGAGCTGTACATGTATACATTTACATATTCTTCTAACCCTCTCCTAAAGTTACAATATAATGTTTTAGAAATAAGAAATATAAAAAAATCCATAGCCATGAGTGTTCTCCGATGGTCTATGGGCAGAGCTCACTTCTATGGTCAAGACAGCTCTGTGGAAGCAAAGCACCGTGCTCCTTGAATGACTTCCTGCACTAAAGTGTTCAACACAGTTCTTGCCAAGGACTGGTCTCCCAATGCACATCACTGCCCCTTTCCAGGTTGCAACCCTGATGACTCGCCAACATAAAAACTCTAGCCATATTAAAATGCAAGCTAAAATCCCTATAAATGCTTCTTGCCACCAAATCCAAACAACTGTAAATTTGATAGACACACAATGTCAGCTTTTGCCACACGAAACAGTTTATTTATATGTTTTAATTTGCTCTCAGTTCATTACATTTTTAAAAGTTCTAATCCAGGGGTGTCGAACATGTGGCCCGCGGGCCACATCAGGCCCTCGGAGGACCGCAAGGCCCTGGCTGTTTCCTACTTCTTTTTCCAGTTCTGTTGCTGCTGCTACATCACAGCTTCCTTTATCAGACTCACTCCTGTGCGATTGAGAGAGTCTGGTAAAGCACTGGCTGAGGCTCCTCTCCCTCCCAGGAGGAGGGAGGAGACCAGCCAGAGCTCACTTCCTGGCCAGGCTGCCTCAATCAAATACAGGAGACAAAGGAAAGCCTTTCTTCCCTTCCACTGGCTGAGGCTCCCTCTGAAGGGAGGGATGGTGCCTGGTATTTCTCCTGTGCAATTGAGGCAGCCCAGCAAAGCAAGCTCTCCTCGTTCCCTCCCTCCCTTCACGTGAAGCGACTTATGTACAAAAACTTGCAATGCCCAGCCATTTCATGTTTTCCCCTGGGTTCTAGGTTCAGAACACTGAGCATGAAATTTCTGTAATGAATGTCAATAAATCAAAAGTAGGTTTGCAGCTTACAGATACACACCTGAACAGCATAGTCAAGATTGCTACAGCACAGACATTTTGATGCAATAATTCAGAGCATGAGGTGTCAGTTATCAGAGGCTGTTAAATAGACAAAATACTGCAAGAGTGCTAGTGTTTTAAGCATGTTTTATTTAAAATCTAAAAAAATCTTTAATTGTGTTTGTCTGTATCCTTTATAAAGTTTATATCTCCGCTACCTGGCATTACGTTTTATGATAAACATGGCCTGGCCCAACAAGGTCTCATTTATGTCCGATCCGGCCCTCATAGCAAATGAGTTCGACACCCCTGTTCTAAACTGTTTCAAATTGCAAACATTAGCTACATAAACACTTAAATATATAAATACAAAATAAAAACCAATATGAATACTCAACTGATACCAGCAAAAATATAGATAAACATTGTGAGTAGATATGATTTCTTCAAGTACATATTATAAGCAGCACTCTGCATTTTATTTTTAATAAACTATTTCACTTTTTTAAAAAAAAATACAACTTGGCATTTAGATGTTTGCCTTTGAATACACAATTTTTTAGTAAAAACATACTGTAGAATTCTGACAAAGACTCTCAATTCAGTTCTGCTTAGGTAAGCCCTGCCTCCACACACAAAGTCAACTTAAAAAAAAAAGGTAATGAATCGGGTCTAGATTTATTTAATTGGGACTACAGCCATTTCGACACAGATCTACCATTGCAATAAGAAAAAATGTCACACTGGAGAGCACCTGTACTATTTGGCTCTGTCCCAGCAGATTTGTAACATGGGCCTTTCCGGACTGAGATACACAAAAATCATTCAGTGGGCATTTTGTATGGTCTGTTGTATACAGAGTTAGAGCTAATGAATAGTCTTTTCAAATTCACAAATCAAATGGGTGGTTGTCTTCCTAGCCAACTGCAATGTAATCTCATTGGTCCACATAAATTAGATGACAACCAATATTTCCAGGTAATCAGAGGTTTTTAGATAAGCAAATGTACTACTCACATAGGATACCTGTTTTATGGAACATGACAGAGATGGCACTTTGTGAACCTGCCCACCAGAGGCATTTTTAAACAAATTCAGCACTTTTAAACACGTGTTGTAGACAAAGTATTAGTGGGATCAGCATGGATTGAAACAAAGGCCAAGCAGCATGGGTATTTCCTACCTTGGACGCTCACGGAATAATAAAGTATCAGGAATCACCGAGGCTGTCATAATGGACACTGGATTAAAAGTGTTCTGTATCTGCCACATGAAAATTAGATTTTTAGGGATTTTTAAATATTTAACAATCCTTTTGAGTGTGATTTGAGTGTCCGGTTTGAATGATCCCCTGAATCTAGCAATCTTTTTTTTAATATATAATAGTGACATTTCCCAAGCACAATACCTTTTCCATGCATACAATCCACTTTACTCTGCCTCCCATGCACACACGCACATATGGAATTCTGCTTCAGTGACAGATGTGGAATATGGTAATCAATTGTGAGGCAAAATTTGGTGGCGTAGGTTTTTCCCCTCATCTTTTACAGTTCTGGGGTAATTGAGTGCATATGGATATAATTTAGTTTAATTGGGATTTCTTCTAGTTTGGTGTGAGAAATGGGTTATTGTAAGAAGTTCTATTGGGAAAAGTAAAAAGGTAAAGGTTCCCTTGCTCGAAAGCCAGTCGAGTCCGACTCTAGGGTTGCGGTGCTCATCTCCGTTTCAAAGCCGAAGAGCCAGCGCTGTCCAAAGACATTTCTGTGGTCATGTGGCCGGCATGACTAAACACCAAGGCGCACGGAACGCTGTTACCTTCCCACTGAAGTGGTACCTATTTATCTACTTGCAATTTCTTGCTTTCGAACTGCTAGGTTGACAGGAGCTGGAACTAGAGACGGGAGCTCACTCCATCATGCGGCACACTCGGGTCTCGAACTGCTGAACTACCGACTTTCCACAG